GGAGAAGGCTTGGCGGTAGGGCTGCCAAATCCCCCCGGGGGGCGGATTTCCCCCCGCTTTGGAGGCCCGATTTCCGCCCCCACGGAATCGGGCCCCGGGGGAAACCCCACCCCCGCGTGCACGTCACCCGGATGTGACGTCGCACGCTGGGGGCGAGGCCACAGCTATTTGAGGGGAGAACATAGAGTTTTCCCCTCAAATGGCTGTGGCCCCACCCCAGCGTGCCCGGCGTCATGACGTCACATCTGGGTGATGTAGATGCGGCGCGGGCACCGGGAGCTGCCCAGGAGTCCCCCGCCAAGGAGGTGAGTGCCATTTGGCAACCCTACTTGGTGGGCCCCGCAGGTGCCACACAGGCCTCGCCGTTGGTGCTGGGGGAGGGGGAAAGTTTTGGCAGGCCCGGCGGGAGCCACACAGGCTTCGCCATTGGTGCCAGGGGAGGGGGGGGGAAGCTTACCTGCGGCTGCTTCCTTCTCCTCCTCCTCCGCATGGAGCTCCTTCTTGTATTAATATAATAAGCAAAGCCCGTTTTCCCTCCATTTGGGAAAGGCGGCAACCTGGAACACCACGTTATGCCTTTTGAACCTCACTCATTTATTTATTTTTTCCTTCACTCTACTCCAGATTGTGGTTCAGAAAGGCGAGGAGCTGAATGGGTACGTGAAAGTCTACACTGGCCGCAAGGTGGGGCTCTTCCCCATCGACTTCCTGCAAGAGATTTGAGGCCCGACTTTGGCATTTCCAGTGGTTCCCTAGCCTGGGCCAGAGAGGGCCAGGTTGTTTCCTTGGGGAGGGAGATTCCCAGCTTCCAAGGACTGTCGGCAATGGAGTTGGGTTCTGAGAGAGCCTGTAGCTCAAGAGTAACGATATCCTGCCAAGGCCTTCATCTCCGAGTCTAGCATTCAAGGCGAGAAGTGTTGTGATACTGTCTCGAAGGTCTCTGCGCTCTCCTACGTGCTCTTTGGACTCTGTGGTTTAGTGGTGGCAGATCCCAGAATGGGGTTAGCCGTTACCCTCGATGATGCTGCCATGGAGGTTGCTGGGATGTGGCCCGAACTGTTCTGCTTCCTGTCTGCAGAGGAAGTGGATAGATGATCATTCATGTCGACTGCCAGACTCCATAAGTAGGGTTGCCAGCTCCAGGTTGGGAAATACCTGGAGATTCGGGGAGGGTGGCACCTGAGGAGGGCGGGGTTTGGGGGGGGAGGGACTTCAGTGGGCTCTCATGCCATAACGTCCACCATCCCAAGCAGCCATTTTCTCCAGGGAAACTGATCTCTGTCGCCCGGAGGTCAGCTGTAGCCCAAGGGGATCTCCAGCCACCACCTGGAAGTTGGCAACCCTACTCCACAAATGGCATTTGCTGCTGTCTCCTGCGAGTGTCACCAAGCTTGTGTGGTTGTGTGTGTGTGTTTATTTATTTGGCGACAAACGGCTGTCTCTTTGCTGGCGGGGGGCGGTCCTGGCTTCTGGTGTTACTTGGCATTGCTTGGATCTTGTTATGTTTTGCTTGCTTATCCCCTGGTGGCCTGCCCACCTTGACATGAAGCAGCAGGATTTTGGACTGGTGTCCAATGAGAAGGCCTGACTGCTTGGGAAAAGTGTGGGGCAGTTCCCCCCCTTACCCTCTCGCTTAGTTTTTCTACTGTTTTGAAAGGAACTCTTATTAGGTCTTCTCCTTTAGATGACCTTCTGACCTCAGTCATGAGGAATATTTGATGTATTAGACTCCCCTTCTTTTTTGCAACATGTGTGCACATACATTTCTCTGTACGCAATGACTGTGATGGCTTTCTTTGTTGATGTGAACTGGGGGGGGAGTAAATTTTGCATCACTGGTGGGTTGCCCCACAAGGAAATGGGAGTTTGGAGGTATGGAAAACAAATGCTCACTGTTCTTGTGACGTTGAGACACTTTGAGATGGTTTGGGAGGGCCCGGAGTCTATGCTGAGCTGAGACCGTTGGATAGTACACAGATGAGGCAATCAGTGATGCACCAGAGACCTGCCACTCCACACTTCTGATGTTATTATTGAAGTAGCCATTGGTACATCAACCCTATGGAAAGATGTGTAAGCTACACATGAACTTGTGAATTTTGGATGGGAGAAACCATGAAGAAGAAGAAGATGATGATGAAGAAGCAGAGATTGGATTTACACCCCGCCCTTCACTCGGAGTCTCAGAGCGGCTTACAATCTCCTTTCCTTCCCCTCCCCACAACAGACACCCTGTGAGGCGGGTGGGGCTGAGAGAGCTCTGAGAGAACTGAGAGTTCTTGAGAGAACAGCTCTGAGAGTATTTGTGACTGACCCAAGGCCACACCAGCAGCTGCATGTGGAGGAGTGGGGAATCAAACCCGGTTCTCCCAGATCAGAGTCCGCGCACTTAACCACTACACTAAACTGGCTCTGAAAAGAAGGCCCACGACTCTGATTCCTAGTATCTGAAGTGTCCTCACTGGGCTGATTTGAAAGTCCAGCCCCATCAGTGAGTTGGAAAGCTATTTGCTCTTCTTCATGATTATTGAAGGGGGAAACTCTGTAGGAGCTGAACAGTGCCCTGTGCTGAGAGACCGCCTTGATTTCAGGAGTGTGTCAGGATTGCTATGAAAGTTTAACAAGCAGCAGGGGGGCTTGATGTGTAGGGCTGGGGGTGGCACAGCCATGGGTTGGGACACAGGCTCCTCTTCAGTCTTCCCCTTTGCAACAGTTGCTGCCGGAGGAACAGCTATCAGTCAAGCCTCCCTGTGGTAAGCCCCAATCCACAGACGGAAGCAAATGTGGTTCTTTTGGTTACTGATGATAGCAAGCGAGGCTCTCCATGGGCCACAGAGTGAGTACCGCTCCTCTGCCCCTTAGAGAGCAATCTCCATCTTGTATCTCTGCCACAGGATACCTTTCCATTTGAGAGAGGTTTACGGAGGGGTGGGAAGACCGAAGGAGACCAAGGCAGAGTGGCCTTTAGCAGGACTTGACGTCAGTTTGTCTCTTGCCCTGTTGGGTGTCCGGATGCTGCCAGCATGGACGTGTGCTGGCTGTGTTTCAGCTTTACCCGAAGAGCCGACGCCTGTATGGACATCAAGAAGTTTGCAAACAGTGTTCATTTCCTCTTTTTAGAATATATGTGCCAGCAGTGTTTGAACGGGTCTCTCGGCTGGATGGGAGAGTTTGAGCAAAAGAAAGTGTACAAGTGGATATTTTGTCTCTGAATAGATCTATCTCCAGCAGACGACTGCATCTGTGAGGGGTGGTGGCATGGAATCAACTGCCAAGATGGCATCCAGTTTGGCTAAAGCAATACAAACGGAGCATATTTCTGTGTCTAATACATGCATAATCTACTGTCTAAACATTCTTGTCTTGTTGGAGCTGAAGGAATATAAGGGGAGTTGTGGGGATGAGAAACCAGTGTTTGGGCCGTGAAAAGTGACAGGTGGCACGAAAACCCAAGGACTTGTCCTTCTCGACGGCAAGTACCAGGTTATGTATAACGTCTGTCTGTGTGTATGATTGCCCGGCATAACAGGGGAATGTGGAGTTTGCAGCTTTTAGCATCCTGACAAGATCTGTTTTTGTTAGAACACAAGTTTCTGAAGTCCAAACTGGGTATGCTTTTAAGAATTCTGTGGCTGGATTTTCTGAGCATTCTTTAAATTTTTAGATACTGGGGGGGGGGTGAAGATGCAGGAGAGACAGAGAGAGAGCAAGAGACAGTTAAGCATTGATCATTTCCCCCTGTGCCATTTTCCTGACCTCAGGTGACCTCCTGAACCCATTTTCCTCTGTTTGAGAAAACACCCATTGCCGTGGCCCATGCACTCTAATGGGGCAAATAACAGCTCGGGGGTAACTGTAGGTACAAGGTAAAAAGGTTAAAATTCCTTTCCAGGGAACTGTGGCCCCGGTCCACATTTAGGTACCCCATGGATGCTTTATACCACTACTAATTTTTTAAAACTCTTGCAAAGATCCATTCATGGATCTTCCAGAGTCTCGTTTAGTTTGGATTTAACCTTACGCCCAGGGCTATTTTGGGGCAGGAACTCACAGGAATGGAGTTCTGGCTGGCTTCAGAGATGGCCACGCCCACTTCAGCCAAAACCTCTGCATGCGTGGCTACAGAGGGAAGGCCTGGAGAGTGACCCCCCTGGGAACTCCAAGGCGGGCGGGCCAGGGGGGCCCCTGGAAGGATCGGGGAGGCATTTAAATGCCTCCTCGTGCCTTCCCCGGTTTGTCCAAGGGCCGGCTTGCCCGGACAAGCCAAGGGAAGGAAGGGGATGTGGCCTAATATGCTAGTAAGCCATGCTGTCGGAGGTCTGGCCCAATATGCTAATGAGTTTCTGCTGTTGGGTGTGGCCTATTATGCTAATGAGTTCCTGTTGGGCTTTTTCTACAAAAAAAGCCCTGCTTACGCCATGTGCAAATGTGAGGTCAGTGTCTAGTGACGTCTTACATTGGAATTCCGTTGATCACAGCCGGCAGCTTTAATGTCCTTAAATCCTACAAGCAGAATACATTATATAAAAGCAGCAAACAAATGAGTAGTTGCACAGTTTATTCAGGCCACAGAGGCTGGCTTTCCTTTGGCACAGGATTCAGATGCATCGCGTGCACGCAAACATGAAACCCACAGCTCTGGGTGCGGACTTCCAGCATGCATATGTTATGGTACCCAAAGCACTGGAGCTGCAAAGTTTTCTGAGCAGAAGATGTGGACTCTGGAAGAATGGGGTTCTCTACCGCACTGGGGGTACCGGCAATGAGATTGTACAAAATCTCAACCTCTCGTCCTCTGGATCTGTTTTCATCGGAAAGTATGTCCCCCGTGCCTTCTGGCCTGGCAAGAACAGACCAGCCAGGAGCCATGTCACGGCTTGGAATGTGAAACCAGAGAGCACGACTGGGAACGGGAGTGCTGCCTGGTGGCTGCCATGTATGGGAGCCTAGAGAGACAGGTGCGGCACAGTCTGTTGATTTTCACCATTGACGTCATTGGAAAATTTGTGGGCCAAGTGGTTGTCTGGAGAGGAGGGGCTGTGCTGGTCAAGCCCGAGGAGTGAACAGGTGCTGCCTGTCCGTTTGCGGCGTCCGAATCACTGCTCGGGTCAAGGGGTGGCAGTGATGGGAAATGTCTGGCAGCAAAACATCTGAGTAGGAGATGTCATCTGATTTTAGACCTCAAGGGGGCACTAGATCTCTTTCGGACTTCGCACTTTTGGGTCAGTCATACCACTATTCTCAAATTCTCTCTCTCTTCACCCCCCTCTGTTCTTCTTGCAAGGGACCTCCCCTCATCACCTCTGTATCCACCATTTGATGTGACCGCCAGGCCAAAGTCTTCAGGCCGAGGACTTTGCATCAGATTTTTAGCAGCAAGGCGTTGTCTGTGACACGATTGCACAGTCCCAAAGCCGTCACTGGAGTGCTGCGCTGTCCTAGTACAGGGGCTGGTGTGCTAGGGATGAAGGGAAGCAGAAAAGGGTATTTAGGGAGATGATGGGCCTGGGGGTGGCACTGCTCTAAGAGTTGACTGGAAAGCCACAAGCCAAACAGTGATTCCTTCCCCTCCAGAACAACGTTTGAGCCCAGTGGAACCTTTAAGGCCAACAAAGTTTAATTCTGGGGATAAGCTTTCGTGTGCGTGCCACACTTCTTCAGATATCTGGCACGCACGTGAAAGCTTATCCCCATAACTAAACTTTGTTGGTCTCAAAACTCTGTTCTGTTGCTTCAGACCAACACGGCTACCCACCTAAACCTTTCCCCTCCAGCTGCTTCTTACAGAACCGATGCTTGGGCTGACCAGGAGAGGATGGAATTTAGCAGCAGCAGCGACAACAAATCCCTGTGGGGCTCCAGTAACGAAAGACCCTCCTCCGGGGCCTTGGTGCCATGAAGGGTAGACTTGGGGGCAAGAGACCGACTTCCTCCCCTTTCCTGCTGGCCTACCCAGAAACGGAGCCCGGTTTACCCTGATTACTCTTTCGTCACAAAGTTCTGGCCTGGACTCCCCCCCCCTTCCGATAGACGTGTAACTTTCTCTGCATGCTTTGCAGACAAGACCCTTGTTTTATCACTGCTCCTCTCCCAGAAATAAAACACTTCCTGCGTGGAAGGGTCAAGGGAAAGGCAGCTCCTTCGCGCTCAGTCTGCAAGGAGTTCAGGGCTTGAGATTCCAAAATGGGCTATAGTCATGCCAGGAGGACTGCTAACTCTGGCCCAAGCCACTTGTGACCCACACGCCCTCTAACCTGTGGAGTCTTGTGAGCAAAAATTCTGCTTTGTGAGCTACTGGCATTAAAGTTGTGAGTGAGCGATTTGCCTACTGCATAAGTTAGTTTGCTCTGGAGCCATCCTTCCTGAGCGAAGGCAAAAAATGTGTGAGCTGGAGGCTAAAAAAACTGTGAGCTAGCTCACACTAGCTCACCTTACAGGGAACACTCCTTGTGTGACCCATCCTTCTTGAGCCACGCTTTTATTTCATTTTATCCATTTATACCCAGCCTTTCTCCCCAATGGGGACCCAAGTGGCTCACACAATTCTCCTCTCTTCCATTTTATCTTCACAACAACCCTGTAAGGTAGGTCAGACTGACAGAGTATGACTAGCCCAAGGTTACCCAGTGAGCTTCCATGGCACGAGTGGGGATTCGGAATCGGGTCTCCCAGATACCAGTCCAACACCCTTTAACCACTAGACCACAGTGGGTTTATCACCCGCTAGGTGCATGACCATGAGGACCACCTGATACCAAGTCAGATCATTGGTCCATCTGGCTTATTGTTGTCTTCGCTGACTGGCAGCTAGGCTTCCCAAGTCCCCCTGGGGGGCGGGGAAACCCCCGCCCCAGAGGCCCGTTCCTCACCACCGGCGGATCGGGCCCCAGGGGGAACCCCACCCCGACGTGCGCGTCACCCGGAAGTCTATGGTTTCCCCTCGGATGGTTGTGGCCCCGCCCCCAGCGTGGCTGGCATCATCACGTCATTTCTGGGTGACGTGCGGCGTGCGCACGCTCCAGCCCTGGCGCGGGAGTCCCCCGGTAAGGAGATATTTTGACTTGGCAACCCTACTAGCAGCAGCTCTCCAAAGATCTCCAGACCAGCCCCTGCTTCCGGGGAATCCTTTAAGCGGGGATGCCGGGCACTGAACCTGGGGCCTT